GATACCACTTTCTGGATGGAGGAATTGTTGTTTAGTTCATATGGGTAGAATTCAGTTACCTGTTCAATAGGGAAAAAGTTAATATTATAGTCCATGAATTGGTATAACTTTTAGGTAAACTAATAATTCTGACAACTGGAAATTCATCTATTCCATCTCATACAGTTTTAATAACTTTGGAATAAATACTTCTCCTGGAAACAAGAGTGCCTAAAATGTTTTGGCAAATGAATATCATTTAAGAAGTGCTTTCTTCCCTTTCTATCTATGCCCTTTGGAGTTCCTCCCAGTTGTCAGGGCCATCCTTGACAGTCAAGTCCACCTTTGAAGGATGTATGTCATTTGTAAAGGCCTTTTGCTGAAAGATTAAAAGATCAAGGGAAATAAAGCTGCTTGTATTCCTAAACCCTGGTGGTCTCACAGAATTTTCTTCTCTTCATTTTTTGTTATCAAAGCATCATCCCAAATTCATCATGTTGTCCAACACACCCATGTGCTTCTTGCTCCAATTCTTCTTGTGTCAAATCTCCCTACACAGACCCATGCATATTTCCAATTTCAATTTTTATTCTTTTTATCTTTCCACAAGACTGGGTGTCTTGTTTGTGCAATTGTGTGTAGTTGTGTCTATATGTATATTCTTGAGATATGAGGATATATAATTATGTGCAAACACAAAACTATTTATGCAGGTAGGTGTCCATACATGTATAAACAAATAGATAGGTGTGCCTTGTGATTAAGCACTATAGGTCTGCACTGTTCAATATGGGTAGCCAATAGCCACATTCGCCTATTTAAATTAGCTAAAATCAACAAAACGTGAAAATTCAGTACCTCTGTTGTACTAGCCACATTTTGAGTGCTCCAGTGGTGGACCTGCCCACTCAGCTCATTCATGCAACTCACATAAAGGCATGACCCTGCCATCCTGTCCAGGGGGTGGTTAGAGTTCAGTAGCATGGCCTATACAGCAGGTTTAGTCTTTATACTTCACACTCTCAAAAACATGTAAATGAATCCAAACACTTAGTCCTTAGAAATTCATTAAAATCTCTTGTCTGCTTCTATCTTCAGCACCCCTATATTCCTTTGGGCTTCTCTTTCTTCTGCCATGTCTCTGCCCCCTTGGTCCCTTGATCCTCTCTCTTCTCTGGGCCATGTGTAAGTCTACACAGGCTCTAGATGAATCACATCCCTAGCTCCACGAAGCACCCTGAAGATTGAGGGTTGGTTCTATGCTAATTGCTCACCAGCATCTGATTTTTTCCCTTTTATTAATAGAAAGTGAAGGAGAAATAAGGAGCTTAGTGGGCAAAGATGGAGGGAGAATGCTGTGAACCTCCAAACATTAACAATTTTATCCCATCGCGTGTAAATTAAAGTGTGTACATTAAACTTTGTAGAGTTCATCTATGGAATGGCTTCAGTTCCCAAATAGTCTTACTGTCACCTTTGTTATAAAGAATTACACTAAAGCGTTCCCTTTAGGTAGTAAGGGGATAGCTTAAGCAAGTGAGTGCAAAAAAATCTTTTTTTTTCTTATTTTCCTAGTGCCCCAACTATATAGAGTAAATAATGAGGACTTATAAAATTGCTTCCCTTCCAGGGTGTAAGCTGGGCCATGTAAAATGGATAAGATAACATTTTACATCAGTAAATTAAAAGAAAAGGCATTGCTCCATATAACACCTGGCACATAGTAAGGCTCAATGAGAGGAGAATCTAGAGCAGTGGTTCTCAGCCTTGGCTGCACAGTGGAAGCACTAGAGGTACTTGGAAAAAAAAAAAACCATCCCTGGTTCACTTCCCTAGAAATTCTGATGTAATTGGTCTTAGGTGTGGTCTGAGTGTTGGCATTTTTACAAGCCCACCAGGTGATTCTGTTGTACAGCCAAAGTTGAGAAACACACCCTGGTGTAGAGGGAAACTCTGGGTTCTTCTCTACTGTTTTCCTTCTGATCTTTACAGGGATGCCATATCATCTTTGACTCAGTCATGGGTTTGGAGGGTCAGGAGCTGATCATTTGAGATGAAATTTTATATTATTCTAGATGTGGTAGATGTGGTCTACTACATGTTACAAAGTTGAATGTGTGTGCCATGTGCATGTGCACACATATGTGTGATGAATTTCTTGTGAGCCCTTTGAAGCTCCATGTCCTTAGCAGGGTACCCTACACTTAGAAATTTGGAAGCCTTCCTTTAAGTAACACTCTTGTTTTGTGCACAAATCCAAAATAAAAGTGACAGTAATTAGTAGCATAAATCAACAAGCAGAATGTAGCAACCAGTATAGAGAGGCTGGCCTGACAGTCCTCAATGACACTTTTATATTTATATATCCACTATGCTCAAGATTAATTTATTAATTCTGTAGCAGGTTAAGGGAGTGGAAGCAGCTGGTAATCATTCATTCATTTATATATTTTCATTCAACAACCATCTGCTGAATGTCTTGTATGTGCCAGGCCCTGGTTAGGGTTGGGGACTCAATATTGAATATGACTGCACAGCCCCTGTTCTCAGCCTAGTGGGAGAAAAGATAAGTAAATGAGCGATTGCGCTCAGTGTGAATGTGCAGTAATGGGGGAGCACAGGATGCTGTGAGAGCACATAGTTGGGACATCCAATCCAGGCATGGTTGGTAAGTTAGGGGGTGGTTATGGGGAAAGTCTCTTGGGAAACATAACTTTGGGGAGAGTGGCAGCCATGGAAATAAACCACTTGGATTTCCCTTCAAGAAAGAACGTACTGCTCAGCTTCTAGAAATGCAGCTATCTGATAGCATCCAGCTGTTAGGCTCTCAGGATTAGCCTTAGCTTTCAAGCTGACCCCACATTCTTATAGGCAGGGGGAACAGCTTTGTTCCACTCTCGGACATTGTGTGCAGAGAGTGGAGTGGATAGTAGAAGGAAAGGGAGGAGAGAGAGGTAAGCAAGGAGTATTGTAGCCCAGATCATGGGGGACCTCGTAGGCCATCATAAGAACACTAGCTTCTACTCAAAGTGATATGGGGTTAGAGGAGGGCATTGAGTGGGCGCTGCCATAAGCTAATTCATGTTTGATTCAAGTTCTTAGCCTTTGATTTTGCTCCAGCCCACTTCCTTCCCTTCTGTCAATGACATCCATCCCTCCAGGGGACTGCCAGCCCTCCAGGGACTTGCACCTAGCAAAGCAATACATCTTCAGAGCGACTCCTAGTCTGACAGATTAGAGCAGCTGCTGTACAGTGGGAGTTTTAAAGAAGCTGAAGATTTCATTTCTAAATTCAAGAGTGTGATGTTCTTATAGATGAGACTATGTGAATTTTTTGTGTGCCCAAAAGTTGTAGAGGTTATGGAACATCAAGCCTAGGACATAACACCAGATGACATCCCAGAAACTTTTTAGGGTGACAGGTAAAATGACTGGTTTTTCTCCTTGGGGGAAAGAACCAACCTCTCTAATTGTCCTCCAAGTTAGACTGGCCTTCCCTGACTTGTGAAACCTGGTTATCAGTGAGCTTGGCAGGAAGATGGCCATGAAAAGGTCCTGGTTGGTATATAAGCCCAAATTTGGAGCATGAGTATTTATTTTCTATTCTCTGTCCTCTGAAGATTTCCATGTAGAGAGCTGACCTGGGGCAAGGTAGCAATCCAGGCAAAAAGGGAATAATTTAGAAGAAAATTAATTCCTCCCTTGAGGAACAATTTCTATTTACAAATTTTAAAATATGTTTTGTGTTTTATTTCACTATTTCCTAGGATTTCATTCCTCTAGCTGAACTTAAAGCTGTCTTCAGAAGGCCCATGACTTGCTAGCTTCTCATTCAACTGCAGAATACACACCGGGACTGGATGTGCTTGGAAGTCCACTTTCCAATAGATTTCTGTGACATCAAAAACAACTATTTTCAACACCACCTGGTCCCAGAGTTTTGGGAAGGTCAGTGCTGGGAATGAGATCAGATCGGTTCTTGTCTGCAATTCTCTTCTTCACCTGGGTCTCTGAACTAACCTGGCCTTGACAATTCCTGGTCCCCACGTGCCACAATGAAGACCATGATTATGGCCACCACCATCATTATAAAAATAAATAAAAGAGATACTTAAAATGGTCAAAACTGATGATTCACACATGTTAATGGTGAATAAACATAAAAAAGTATTTTAGCATCGCTAATAATCAAAAAGGAAGAAGGAGAAGGAATGTAGGACAGGCAAAAGCAATAAAGTTGCAAACAACCAAAATGGCCCCCAACAGGCAATTGGTTAAATCTGGATACTATGGAGTATCTTGGAAATTTCTGTTAACAAAAAAACTGTATCGGCATCATAAAATATCAAGAAATCAGGTCACAAACTATATATGCAAATATGTTCTTAGCTTTCAAAATAAAAGCATTTAAAAAGAATACTCTCCAAATATCAACAATATTTATTTTTGGAAGTGTAACTATGAATAATTTTAATTTTTCCAAATATTTTTCTGTAATTTCCAATTTTCTAGAATAAATGTGAAACAGGAAAGCCAAATCAAAGTAAATTTTAAGAAAAAATAAAAGAGATATTAAAATTATACACAATTTTTTCCTATAGTATAATTTTCACAGAAAAAAATGTTAGAGAAAATATTTTTAGGAAGTCATCTAATATTGCTGTTGGCTTTTCCTCACAAGAATATGATGTGATGGCAATAAAAAGTTGTTCAGAAAGTTATGATTTAAATGGTTAGACTGGTTTCAGTGAACTTCAGGGTCAGCTCTACAGTTTAATCATATTGTTTTTACTGGCTACCAAGGCTACAGAAGTATAGGTACAACTGCTATAATTTCTTAGTTAGTGGGAAGTGGTACATTTAAAGTACACAAATCCATTCTCTTTGCAGCCCTCTATCACTTCCACTGCAAATGGAGGAAAATAGAGGAAAATTGAAGAATCATTTAGTTAAGATGATAGAAAAGAAGAAAGGAAATAAGGGTGGTGGGGGGCAGGGTGGGCAGGGGCCTTTGGAGAGCACGCAGCACTTGCAAGATCCTATAAATGAGAGAAAAGCAATGATGGGGACAGACATTTACTAAAACTTTCCCTGTGTTTTGTAACCTGAAATTTCTAAGACATTCCACTGTGTCCAGATATAACCAATTGCCTATTGTGGGCCATTTTGGTTTTTTACAATTTTATTGATATTGCCTGCCCTATATTCCTGCTCCATCGAACTCTTTGATTATTAGTGATGCTAAAATACTTTTAGACATTAATATTTGTGAATCATCCTTTCTCTGAGCCTGACTCAGTTCTAAGTCCTTCTCCTACATGATTTCATTCCCTACTCATAGAACATAGAAATAGGTGTCATCTTCTCCACTTCACAGATGAAGAAACCGAGACTCAGAGAACTAACTTGCCCACGATTATACATTCTAGTAAACAATGAAGCTGGAAATGCAAACTACCTTCTTAACTCATTCTGAAATTACATGTGTGTATGTGTGTTTGCATGTGAATGCCCAATGAACATGACTTTGTCAAGGATGGAGTTTTCCTCATCCAGTCACCTGGAGCTCAGAGACTTGAATTGACTCACTCGTGGCCATGGAGGCATCATGAGAACACAAGCCACCAATTAACAGTTTAAATCAATAAAGTGTAATTTGTGTTGGAGTTTCAAACTGACTGGGCAAAAGCTTTGAGATGGAATGCAGGCTTTGGGTGCTGGCAGCCATTATGGGAAAGAGAGAATCATGAAAAACAACAGAAGGTATGGAAGATGATGCCTTCGACAAGCTAGTCTATGGGAAAATTTTGGGGTGTGCTGACAAGCGAGTATCATCATCCAATTAGCAGCTCCTCACAGTACCCATTTTCCTAGGATCTGGGGAGTGGGAAATCTGAAGGGCAGATCAGAGAGTCTTACTGCTTCAGGACAAGGACAGCCAAGGGAAAGTCTTCAGTATTTGGAGAGATACAGAATCAAGTGGAATTAAGAAGAAAAATTCAGATTTAGAAAGCCAGACAGAAGAAGGAAGGGGCTGGACTCTAATAACTGCCCTCATCCTAAGATGGGCGTTCTTTAAAAATGTCCCAGTACTCCTCACACTCTTGTAAAGTCACTTCTCCACATCAATGACTTGAGAGTAGTGCTGCTGGTGGTCAACCTGTAGGCAGGGAGACGAAAAATTATAGAGCAAGAACTTCAGTACCAAGAACATGGTCTCAAAGAGGGTCTTCATCGTCCCCTTTTGTATCTTTCTGATGATTTATTGCAAGACTTACGGCTCTTCCATGTGAAAGCATGGCATTTGATATCAGCTAATGGTAGAAGCATTACAGAGAACACTTTCCAGGGAAGCTGTTTAATGATGATTACAATCAGTGCATTTGAATCTTAGATGACCTAGTGAGTCACTGTCCTCTGTAATTTTATAAGACTCATTTTTAGACTATGAGTCTTTAAACCTCCTATAGGACCTAAGGTGGTGTCTTGCTCACAAATACGAGGTGAATGAAAGACAGACATCCAGGTGTCTTTCCAGGGGTATGTTGGAGAATCCAAAACCTATCTTCCTACAAATGCAGTTTGTTTTCGTTCCTTTCAAGTGTCTTCTCTGGATTTGCACATTGGAACTCCTCAGTCACCAGTGTGTGCCTGTTATTCAGTAAGTACCAAGAAATTTCCCTTTGGTTGGTTTTCACTCTCCATGGCCAAGTGTAGTCATCAGAGAAATGTTTCAAATAAATTTAATAGATTTTGTCATCTCTGTTTGATGCAGAATGTCTGAGAAGATGCCGGAGCTAGACACCTCCAATTGCAAACACGGCCCAATTACAAATAAATCTACAAATGAATCACTTTCTAGTTTTTGCATGTTGGGTGTTTCATATGCAGAGTTGATGCTATTGGCTCTTCCTCAGTAAGATATACATCTCAAGTAGTTTTTGCAGTGTGATGGATTGACCTGGCCTGATAGATAATATGATGGAGTGACTATACCATGGACAGAATCATCACTGTCTCCTGCCAATCTTCCACAATTGTAAGTTTTCTTATTTGTTCACTACAAATGTCAATATAGATTAAAAATCATTTACACTTTTTTATTAGCCTGGGAATTTTTGACCACCTTCCATGAGCCAGGTATTATGCGATGCCCTTTACATATAACCTTTCATCTCTCTATTATTCTATCTTATAGTAGAGGGAGCAGGGTTTCAGAGACACTAAGTAGATTGTCTGAGGCCAAACCTCTCTTAAATAGCAGCTAGGATGTGAATAAAAGTCTGTCAAAATTCAAATTTTTGTTATTTTACTATACCATCATTCCTTGGTCACATTCCCAGTTGGATGGAAGGAGTTTGCTATGTAGACTATCATCCCCAAACTGCCTTTATTATGGAACCATATCAAAGACTTGTACAAAAATCTAAATAAATAACGAAGACTGCATTCTCCTTTTTGTTTTTTTTTTTTTGAAGTTATTATTTAATGACACAGGAAAATAACATGTTATGAAACAAGCTGGTTACAAGTAGTAGGTAGATGACTTCATTTTTTGATAAAAAATTAAAAAGCATGAACTTGCATATAAAAATTAGATTAGGTACAAAATGCCAATCATATTTACTTCTGCTCAGTAATTAAATATTCCTCCCTTTGTTTTTGTCTTTTAAAAAACATTACTTCTGGAATTGAAAAACAAAAGGGAAAACATGATCCTGGAGAAAGTTACTAAACACGAGGAATTAGGAATCCAAGAAGCCAAACCAGGAGCCCAGCAGTCAAGGTTGGAAGCCCAGAACACGTCTCACCAGTGTGATAATGGCCAAGCCCCGAAGTGGAAGATTGTTCTTTTCTTTTCCTACTGGAATATTCTTTACCAAACAGTTTCCTCTACATTAGATATTAGCACACTTACATTTAATGGGATTCTATGATTAACTGGCACAACAGCAAAGTGATGCCAGAAACTTTCGTTTTGAATTGCTACATAATCTATTATTTTGTAGTTATATATTATACAAAACACACTAGAAATCAAGTGCTCCTACAACAAAAAACCCATCTAACTTTGCTGTTTCTTTCTAACTTTGTTCATTTTCAATCTTCACAACAAATGTGTTTTTTTTGTTTCAGGGACTGGAAGAGGTAATTTTTCTCAGAAAGAAGCAAACATTAATATGTGCTAGGCACTGTCTGATGGCTTGGCTCTAAGACAAGGCAGCTGCCCATGTACTGTACAGAGCAAAAAGGCTTACCAAAATCCAAACCACCTTGAGTTAAAGAAATCTGAATGAGGAGCATCACTATTCTTTGTATGTGTGTTTTAAAAGTCTTTGCTGTGTTACCAAATAAAGAAATGCGTGTATTATACCTCTATTGATGTAAACGAGGCTCAAACATCTCAATTCCACCCTCTTCCTACCCCACACCCATCAGATGTTATGACTGCTAGTGACACTTTATTCAAATTACAACCCGTAGTTTTTGCTCTAAAAAACAAAACACCTGAGAAATGTTCATTGCTTTAAAATCAAGAATCTATAAAAGCAATGCCACCCTAATCCTAAGGTGATTCTTAGGTATTTTCCAAAGCTCTTTGCTCTTTCATACTACAGCATTTTCAGGAGGAGTCATTAGGTACTGTCAGTGTCCAAGAAATAACTAAAAACAAAAAATAACCTGAGACTCTTTTCTGCATTACCACCAGCTTCCCAGTACACCAGGTCACCTTTTACAGCAGTGAGCAAAGCAACCCATGCCACGGAAATCTTCACAAACCAAGAAGGAAAGGTACAAAAAGAATTATAGTAAAACAATAACATACATTTGTGTGTATGAGGGAGAGAGATTTAAAATTAAAATATTATATCATCACAAGAAACAGCAGACATTCCTTGCTCTGTCCTTGGGCAACCAAGAAAATTAAAGCCTGTTTTATGTCCCAAAAATAAAAGAGACTTGATAGAAGTAACAGTGCTCAGTGCTTGCAACCCAAGTCAATTTATACTCTTGTCAGACCAGTCCAAATTCCAAATGCTACAAAAATCCTGTTAGATCAAGGGGTAAAAATTCATTTTAGTACAAAGTTACTCAAGATAAAGAAAGGCACGTCTTAGGTGAGAGAACTGCCTGCTGCAGATGACTTTTTGCTAATGTGTTTAAAGATTATGGACTTCTCAACTTTCTTAGTTTTCTGGTAGCCAAATCCTCCTTGCTTTTTCTGCTTGCCTTCATTGCTGTTCATGTTCAGACCAACAAAGGGAGGCACCTTGAAACCAAATGACAGAGCAACTTGAGGCAAATTTAAGTTATTGACATTAAAGATCTGTTTCAGAGAGTAGGAATCATAGGCTCATATGTATGACTTACATGCTTCCTCGGCTGACTTATGAAGGAAGTAGTTCTTTTCAATCAGTTTCTCAAGTTGAGACTGAGTATCCTAAATTTTAGACCAGGAAAAGTCAAATTCACTTAATGGAACCTTGGATTGTTTCAAGTAATGAAGGAAACCCAATTCTTCTGGGTGCAAAATGAGCAAGGCATGGCCTCCCCCATTTAGATCTCTGGCTGTTCTCCCCACACGATGAATATATTTCAGGGCCATCTGGAGGGTCATACTGAAGAATCCAGTTGACTTCAGGAATGTCCAGTCCTCTTGCTGCCACATCCGCAGACAATAGTGTTCCCGAATCTGCATTGCAGACCTAGAAGAATGTGGTTTTACGCTTATTTTGCTTTTGCTTTCCATGAATGGCCAAGACAGCAAATCAATGCAGTTCAGCAACTCGTAGTGGTATTTCACGGACATACACGATGAAAAGACCATGAGCTTCTTCTTTTGGTTCTTCTTAAAGAATGTAAAGAGCAGAAGAATCTCTTTTCAGAGGGACAAACGACATATCCCTGCTCAAGACCATCCACTGTCACATTAGCTTATTAGCTTTATCACCATCAACATCAACATACAGTGGCTCCTTTTTCAGAGAAATCCTTGCCTGGTCCTCAACTTTTTGAGTTTAGGTGGCAGAACAGAGCATAGTCTGTCTGCGTGTTGGCAAAAGTTTAATAATTTGGTTTAATTTATCTTCAAACCCAACATCCAAGATACAATCAGCTTCATCAATAGCCAGACACTGCAGGTTTTTATACATAAACCCTGGGGTATTCTGCATATGGTCCAGCAGACGGCCTGGTGTGACCACAATGATGTAGATCCCATTAGCAAGTTTCTATGCTTCAGCAGATCTGTTACTACCACCTATTATCAACCCATAGGTGTGCACATGGTGAGTCATTAGCTCCTTAAGAACACCAAAAATTTGCATGGCTAGTTGTCTAGTAGGTGACAGAATAAGGACCCCTGTTCCATTCTTGGGCATTAACTTTAACTTAACAATGAGTTCAAATGCAGAGATGAAAAAAGCCAGGGCTTTACCACTGCCTGTTTTTACAGCTGCTAGAAGATCCCTGCCTTCCAGAAGTAGTCTGATACTTTTATGTTGAATTTCAGCCATGTTTGTAAAGCCCATTTCTTTTATTGCCTTCAGAGTGTTTTCGTTGACAAGATTACATAGAGAAGCAAATGAAGTACCCTCAAAAGCTCCTGTCAGTCCCAGGGGCAGGCTGGGCACCTCACTGTCATCTTCATCATTATCTGGCTTCTCCACATTATTTTCTGTTTCTTTAGGAGTCTTGGCACTTTCTTCTTCAGATTCCCCTTTGTTTTCAGTTTTTGCTTTTTTTGTATCAGGCCCAGCATCATTCACCAGTTTTCTCTTTTTCTTCTTCTTTTTCTTTTTTGATTCTGAATTGGGAGACTGCATTTCTGCATCTCCATTGGTTAATACGGTGGATTTCTGGGGAGATTTTTTAACTTTTACATTTTCCACTATTTCTTGAGAAATGTCTGCATTTTGAGTTTCTGATAAGGCCACATTTATAGAATGTTTTGATTTTTTAACCTTTCTATCTCCCGTTGTTTCTTCAGACACATCTCCATTTTGAGTTTCTGATAGGGTCAGATTTGAGGCCCCCTACAACTTTAGATTTTGCTGCCACAGTTTGAGGTTCCACTTCTCCATCTTCTTGCTCAGGAGTTTCATCATCTGGTGAGACATGCTGTCCAAGAAGTGCCTAGACTGCCGGGCCACACAGTACAGCTCTGCATTCCCATTTTTTACATGTTTATTTTGCTCCTCAAAGAACTCCATGAACCCAAGGTGTTGGTTGATGGAAGCCTCTGGTCATCCCAACTGAATCTCCATTCCATCTGGGAGCAAGGGCCCCCAAAAAGCATTAAGTAGAAAGTTGCTTCTCCAAGACTCAAATACCAAGCAGCTATTTTCTTCCAGAGTTGAGGAAGGTTTTCCAAATGTTTCTTTAAAATTGCTCTGAAAATCTGAATCCAATGGAATAAACTAGATAGGGCTGTTGATTGTGGAGAACATCTATCACCGACTTTAAACCTTTTCTCTTTCTAAAAATTCTTTTTGACATTGTAAAAACAATATATGCTTATTGCAAAACATTAAAACAATACAGAGGTGCATAGATATAAAAGTGAACGTTCTCAGTAGCTTATTTCACTCACTCCCATTTTAGGAGGTAACTGTTAGGAGGTAACATTACCACTTTAGGAAGTAACTAGATTTGTATATCACAAGATCTTTTGTGAGCTTTTATATCCCACCTCTATACACACCTGCATATGCATGCACACATGTACACAGTTACATGCCTTTTCTTTTATACCAAAAAATGAGAGCATACTCTAAATTTCATTATGCAGCTTGCAACTTAATACACCACACATAGATTTGTATGTCCATCAGTCATAATTCCGTCGGTTTATCACTCATAATGGGAGTAACACTGTTGTCCCCTTTCTTACCTTGTAAGTTTGCCGTGAGGATTAATCGTATGTTCAAAGGTACGCAAGGACAGTGGTACTAAAAAATGGCACAGAAGGCTTTGAGATGGCCATTGATGTATTATTTTACAGAGACATAATACAGATTATGTGATGGGCTTCAAGAGTAAGGATGAAGAAGTAATTTCTTGTTTTCCCCCTCTGAATGGGACACTTCGTGATCTGCATATTATAAAAAACATGAAAGTGAGGTCAGACTTGGCAGGGAAATTGCTGGCTACAAGCTTTTAGGACAATTAAAAAACAGCAGGATCATTCTGGCACAAGCTTCAACCAGTTGGCAGAAAAATGCCTCTTCTGCTCCTACGGTGACTGGCAATTCTAAGTAAATGGCTAAAATTGCCTTTCATGTCTGCCGGCAACTTCTTTCCTGAAGTCTTTGAGTCTTGTTGAATTTGTTTGATAATGAGTATCTTCTCTATTAGGGTAAATTTGACATGCATAAGGATTATTTCAACTCTGACAGGACAGAAATTCACGTGTTTCCAGAATTAGGAATACTTGAAAATTTGCTCAAGTCTAAAAATGAATTTTTCCCTAAAAGTTTTCTTCTTTAAGACTCTGTTGCCATATACAAAGACTGTATTTTATATGATTAGTGACATACTAATAGGCCTTTTGAAATATTAAAAATAGCTCCCAAACCCCTGTGATTTTCTTTGGTGAAGTCCAAGGACTTGGAATCCCAGTTAGGGCATTATTAACTTAAAATATTCCTACTCACTTAAATTATAAGCTGTCAATAAATATCACTTCTCTTTTAACTTCAATTCAGTTTGCCCTGAGACTACATTACTGACCATACGCCTTCCACCCCTGATATCTAGCCAAGGCAGCATCCATAATTGCCTGTTGGCTTGCCTCTGAGAGCCCAGTGTTGGACAGCCTGTATAGTAGAATGGTTGAAAGCAGTCTTTGGAGCTCCAAGGGCTCTGTACATTTGCTTGAGTTCCCATAACATGGTGGAGATGGTAGCACCTACCTCAGAAAGTTGTTAAATTAATTAATCAGCCCATATAATAAAGCACCTAGAATACTGCCTGGCCCATAAAGTGTCATTATTACTGTATCTTTTGTATTTAAAGTCATTCTCTTTAACTGTTGTTATTGGGATGAGGTCTGTAGCTTTTTATGCTTCTGGGAGAGGAAAACCTCTTCATCTTGTTCCCTGCGTCATAAGAGAAACAAAGAGGAAGAAGATGATATAAGTTGAGTAAATCTTCCCTTCATATTTGGTCAGATAAGAGCAGGGGCTTGGAGCCAGGCTGCCTGGCTTGACCACTTAACACTAGCAAGTTTCTTAACCTCTCCAGCCTCAGTGACTTTATCTGTATAAAGGGGATAACAATTGCCCCTGATCACAGGGCTGTTGGGAAACCCAATACAGTGTGAGTAACAGACTTACACATAGTGAGTGCACAATATAGATAGCAAGTAAGTTAATTCTGAGGCAACAG